GGGTGCCTGTGGTCCCAGCTACTTGGAAGGCTGAGGCAGGAGACTCTCTTGAGCTCAGGAGTTGGAGGTTGCTGTGAGCTGTGATGCCACGGTACTCTACCCAGGGGGATAGCTTGAGGCTCTCTCTCAAAAAAAAAAGATGCTTAAATATTGCTTTGTTAAATTAGTTTTTAAAATTAACTGCTCCTATTCTTAAATTCTAGTATATGACTCTGAACCCTTCAACTAAAAGGAAGAATACTGGATCCCCAGACAGGAAACCCTCAAAGAAATCTAAAACAGACAACTCCGCTTTGAGTACACTAAATCCTAAGTTATGGTGTCATGTACACTTGAAGAAATCGTTGAATGGTTCACCACTCAAAGTAAAGAACTCAAAGAATTCCAAATCTCCAGAACAACATCTGGAAGAGGTAATGAAAATGATGTCACCCAGCAAGCTGCATGCTAACTTTCACATTCCCAAGAAAGGCCCACCTGCCAAGAAACCAGGGAAACACAGTGACAAACCTTTGAAGGCGAAGGGCAGAAGCAAGGGTGTCCTGAATGGACAGAAATCTACAGGGAATTCCAAATCCCCTAAAAAGGGATTGAAGACTCCTAAAACCAAAATGAAGCAGATGACTTTGTTGGATATGGCCAAAGGGACACAGAAGATGACTCGAGCACCACGGAATTCTGGAGGTACACCTAGGTCCTCTGGTAAACCTCATAAACACCTGCCTCCTGCTGCGCTACACCTAATTGCCTACTACAAAGAAAACAAAGACAGGGAGGACAAAAAGAGTGCCCTGTCTTGTGTTATCTCCAAAACAGCTCGTCTTCTCTCTAGTGAAGATAGAGCTCGTCTCCCAGAAGAATTGCGAAGTATTGTTCAAAAACGCTATGAGCTTCTAGAGCACAAAAAGAGGTGGGCTTCTATGTCTGAAGAGCAACGGAAAGAATATTTAAAGAAGAAACGAGAGGAGCTGAAAGAAAAGTTGAAGGAAAAAGCCAAAGAACGGAGAGAGAAAGAAATGCTTGAGAAATTAGAAAAACAGAAGCGGTATGAGGACCAAGAATTAACTGGCAAAAACCTTCCAGCATTTAGATTGGTGGATACTCCTGAAGGGCTCCCCAACACACTTTTTGGGGATGTGGCCATGGTGGTGGAATTCTTGAGCTGTTATTCTGGGCTACTCCTACCAGATGCTCAGTATCCTATTACTGCTGTGTCTCTTATGGAAGCCTTGAGTGCAGATAAGGGTGGCTTTTTATACCTTAATAGAGTCTTGGTCATCCTCTTACAGACCTTATTACAAGATGAAATAGCAGAAGACTATGGGGAATTGGGAATGAAGCTGTCAGAAATCCCCCTCACTCTACATTCTGTTTCAGAGCTGGTACGGCTCTGCTTGCGCAGATCTGATGTTCAGGAAGAAAGTGAGGGCTCAGACACAGATGATAATAAAGATTCACCATTTGAAGACAATGAGGTACAAGATGAGTTCCTAGAGAAGCTGGAGACCTCTGAATTTTTTGAATTAACATCAGAAGAGAAGCTACAGATCTTGACAGCACTGTGCCACCGAATCCTCATGACATACTCAGTACAAGACCACATGGAGACTAGACAGCAGATGTCTGCAGAGTTGTGGAAGGAGCGGCTTGCTGTATTGAAGGAAGAAAATGATAAGAAGAGAGCAGAGAAACAGAAACGGAAAGAAATGGAAGCCAGAAATAAAGAAAATGGAAAAGAGGAGAATGGATTAAACAAAACCGATAGGAAAAAGGAAATTGTGAAGTTTGAACCCCAAGTAGATACAGAAGCTGAAGACATGATTAGTGCCGTGAAGAGCAGAAGGCTTCTTGCCATTCAAGCTAAGAAGGAACGTGAAATACAGGAAAGAGAAATGAAAGGTAAAATATCACGCGAAGATTAAAGGGGGATCCTTTTAGAGATTGTAGCAGAAAAGTGACTGCTGAGATAATGGTAGGGTCTCTAGTAACTATCTACTTATTTTTATATGTAATAACTCAGCATCTACTAGGTATGTAATATTTTTATGGGAATGTTCAAACTGGCATTCTGAAGTTAATAAGTTAATGTGATGTGGCATCTTTTCTGGACATAGTGAGGGACCAAATGACAAGTAGGTATAGTGAAAACCTAGTATACAGTGAAAACAATATACAACTTGGGGATTGGCTAACCTGGGTTCAAATCCAGCTCTGATTTAGCTATACAGTATGCCCTTGGTGATGCCTCACCTTCCCTATATGCTTGGTAAGATTATTTAATAGTTGGCCCCTAGTACAGTCACCAACTCAGATATTAATCTTTTCCTTATTATTTTTATTTGTTTCTTTGAGACAGAGTCTTACTTATGTTCCCCTCAGTAGAGTGCTATGGTGTCACAGCTCACAGCAACCTCAAACTCTAGGGCTTAAGTGATTCTCTTGGCTCAGCCTCCAAAATAGCTGGGACTACAGGCGCCTGCCACAACGCCCAGCTGTTTTTTTGTTGCAGTTCCATTGTTTTAGCTGGCCCGGGCTGGGTTCAAACCCACTACCCTTGGTATATGTGGCTGGCACCATAACCACTATGCTATGGATGCTGAACCTTTTTTTTTTTTATACATATATGTATAGTTTTTTCTTTCTTTCTTTCTTTCTTTTTTTTTGTTTATTTTTATTTTTTGTAGAAACAGAGTCTCACTTTGTCACGCTGGGCAGAGTGCTGTAGTGTCATACAGTTCACAGCAACCTCCAACTCCTGGGCTTAGACGATTTTCTTTGCCACAGCCTTCTGAGTGCTAGGACTATAGGCGCTTGCCACAATGCCCAGCTATTTTTTTGTTGCAATTTGACTGGGGCCAGGTTTGAACCCGCCACCCTAGGTTTATGGGGCCAGTGCCCTAACCACTGAGCCATAGGTACTGCTCTGGTTTTTTCTTTTTTCTCCCTCTTCTGTTGCCCAGGCTAGAGCACAAAGGCATCGTCATAGCTCACTACAACTTCAAACTCCCAAGCTCAAATGATCCTTTTGTCTTGGCATACCGAGTAGCTAGGACTATACACACCTGCTACAACGCCCAGCTAATTTTTCTATTTTTAGTAGAGAAGGGGTCTCACTCTTGTTTAGCTAATTTCAAACTCCTGAACTTTAGGGATTCTCCCACCTTGACCTCCCAGAGTGCTAGGATTACAGGCATGAGCCTCCATACCTAGCTGGAAATTTGTATTTGAATGGACTAAACCCATGTAGTGAACAATCAGAAATGAATTGATTACTTTTTTCATCATTAATAATAGTAACTCACTGAATAGACAATTGATATTCAGTGTACAGTAATTGTTATTAATCATAATTGCTTCCTTTCCCTTGGTTTCTTGTTCTTTCCTTATCTAAAGCTATTAAGCTGAATTACTATGAAATTCCTTAGAATTGAAATATGTTTTATTTCAAAATCACTATTTTACTAGTTTTATTTATCCTGATCTTTTTGATTATCCTGTGAGGTCACATGTCAGAAGATGTTTCACTTAGTCCCTTTTATGAACTATTATAAATATTTCTTCAGGAGTGTTTAAAATAGGAAACTAAATTTTGGAGATAAGAGATTTTTCTGTTGAATTGAATAAATTGGAGGAGTACAGGAAGGCCAGGTCGAAATTGCTGCTTTGCATGTCATATCTTAGATTAGAATTAGGAGAAGAAAACTGAAATTTGATAAACGTCTGCTTTCTATCAGCAACTTTTTGTCCTATATCTTATTTGTGAGTGGGACATACTGGGAAAAAATCTAATGGAGTTCTTAATATTGTTAACAGTGAAACTAGAACGTGAAGCTGAGGAAGAAAGAATTCGGAAGCACAAGGCAGCTGCTGAGAAAGCTTTCCAGGAAGGAATTGCCAAGGCAAAACTAGTCATGCGTAGGACTCCTATTGGTACAGATCGAAATCATAATAGGTAAGTTACTAAACTTAGTTTATATTATCTTGTAGGACTATTATTAGTTATAAAACTATCTAAAGTAGTAAGACTAGACAAATGTCCCTATTCAGTTTTCCTTTTTTTTTTTTTAAGAAACAGTCTTGCCCTGTTACCCAGGGTAGAGTGCCATGGCATCGTAGCTCACACCGACCTCAAGCTCTTAGGCTCAAGTCATCCTCTTGCCTCAGCCTGTGGAGTACCTGAGACTAAAGGTGTCTGCCACAATGCCTGGGTAGTTGCTCTCTTTTAGTAGAGACAGGGTCTATGCTTTTGCTTGAACTCCTGAGCTCAAGCAATCCTGCCCGCCTCAGACTTCCACAGTGCTAAGATTATAGGTGTGAGCCACTGTGCCTAGTCTTAACAATGGTAATATATTTTAGATGCATACATTTTATGGGCCCTAAAAATAGCGAAATAATAGAAGTTAACAAAAATTAGAAACTTGCACTAATTTCTATTTCCAGGAATTCTGGTATCCTTTGTTTTACCATATAGTATTTGGAGTTCTGAACAAAGGAGGAATTCTGTAGTGATCTCCAATAATAAAAGCCTGCAATCCATTGTCTTATTAATACATGGTTGTTATTTGTAGATACTGGCTCTTCTCAGATGAAGTTCCAGGACTGTTCATAGAGAAAGGCTGGGTTCATGACAGCATTGACTACCGATTCAACCATCATCACAAAGACCATGCAGACTCCCCTGATGAGGATTACTGTCCTCGCAGTGAGTATATCTACTTAGTTATTTACCCTATTCAGGTAGACTCAGGATAATGACTCCCCTTTTTCTCTCATCTCTTCCTTTTGTAGAACTTACTGCCTTCTTAGCTAGATGTGTTTGAGCAAAGTGGGTAGAACTGAAATGCATAAATTAACAAGTTATTACAGATTTTTTTTTGAGGCAGAGTTTTGCTTATTGTCCTCAGTAAAGTGCGGTGGTGTCACAACTCACAGCAACCTCAAATTCTTGGGCTCAAGTGATCCTGTTGTCTTAGCCTCTCAAATAGCTGGGACTACAGGTGCCTGGCTATTTTTAGAGACAAGGTCTCGTTCCAGCTCAGGCTGGTCTCAACCTGTGAGCTCAGGCAATCTACCCTCCTCAGCCTTTCAGAGGGCTAGGATTACAGGCGTGAACCAAGTTATTACAAATTTTGTTCCAGGCATACTGTTAAGAAGATAAAGAACTTGAGTATTAGGATATTTGGGCAATAGATTTTCTAGGAACGATTTTCAAACTTCATCCCTTGGAAACCTTTTAAAGGTGCTTCAAGGGCTGAAAATGAAGAAAAAGGGCCAAGAAAGCAGAGTTACGTGTTCTTTTTAAGCTACTTTTTAAATTGATTTATTTAATATTTATAGAGCACCTCTTTGTCAAGCAGTTTTTCATCTGCTAGGGGTATAGCAGAAAACAAGAAGATAACATCCTAAATGTCGTTTAACTAAAATTCTAGTGAGGGAACACTAAAGTGACTGGGATGGGGTTGTGTAAGGGATCTGATAATGTTCTTTTTCTTGATATGAAGATTCATTATATTGGAGAGTTCAGTTTGTAAAATAAAAAATATATACTTTTCTGAATATACCTATATATTCATATTCTTTCTAGAAGTATAAATATATTGAATATATTTCAAGAAAAAAATATAAATTTTTTTTAAAATTTAAAACAAAAGCCAGGTGCCAGTGGCTCATGCTTGTAATCCTAGCACTCTGGGAAGCCGAGGTAGGTGGATCACCTGATCTTAAAGAGTTTGAGACCAGCCTGAGCAAGAGCCAGACCCTGTCTCTAAAAATTAGTTTAGGATGTTGTGGCAGGTGCCTATAGTCCCAGCTACTTGGGAAGCTGAGGCAAGAGGATCCCTTGAGCCCAGGAGTTTAAGACTGCTGTGAGCGATGACACTGTGGCAGACAACTGAAGACAACAAAGTGAGACTCTGTCTCAATAAATAAATAAATAAAATTTAAAACAAAAGATGCTTGGATTGGACCAGGTTTTATAATCTTCAGTGTTAGTGACATCTTGGGTATTTATAATGGGAACTGTCTTACTTATATACGGTATTTAGGAGGACCCCAGACCTCTACCCATTAGATGCTAGTAATAAAAACCATACTTGTCTCTAGATATTCCTAAGTGTCTTTTGGGAGGCTCCCTGTGCAACATCTCTGGGTTAGATGATCCACAAACTTCCTTCCAGTTCTGTTTTCTATAATCTAATAAAATTGTTCCTTTAATATTAGATTATTCTGTTTCTTTGAGAAATCATTTTTTAAAAATGTGGTTCTTCATGTTAGAGAAATTCCTAACCCAAACTTGAAACTCACAAAATTGCTAAATAAAAAAACTATTAGATTTTAAAATATAACCCAGAACTTCAAATTTAAGGTGTTTTTATGTTGAATTGTATTGAGTGTAGATTACAGTAGAAAAATCTAGTTTGGGCAGACATTTACAAATACTGAGATGAGGCAGTTAGGTTTGAGAGCAGTAATCTCTCTTTAGAGAGATTTCAATGGGATGAGGGACTGTTATTTTTATAATAAATAAAAACCTGTCAGCAGTCCTTGGAAATGAGGGCTACACCAAGAATAGATTGAGCATCAAAATCCCTTCACTTGTAGAGCATTCTGGTGGGTGTTATTCCATGTTTTCTAGTTCCAGAATGGCAGTGTCTCTTTAACATTTCCCAGCTGAAAAGACTAAACTAGGCTATGTGTTATTACTGCAGAGAAGATGCTGCAGGTTACGGGAGAGAGAGCAGGGGAAAGGAAAGAACCAATTGTTGTATTAGGTAAGGCCTTAAATATTGTGTGATGCTCTACAACAGGCTTTGATAAATTTGCATAAGATATATCTATATTAAAGTCATGTATTAGTATGTAGAAACTGATGTATAAAAAAGTTAATTGTATTATTTGACGTTAGAAGCCTCCAAGGACAAGTCTATATTAGATTATATATTCTACCTACCACTGCTTCACAGGTGCCTTTGCTCTTAACATCATGTAAAAGAAGTAAATTGTTTATTCTCTTTGAGAGAAAGTTATTTACTCATTCCTCTTCATTCTAAGTAGTAGTACTCTTAAACTCTCAAGTGTACATGCTGTATTTAAGATATTCTCTTTTTGAGAGATGATATCTCACTATATTGACCAGCATATCCTCAAACTCCTGGGCTTACTTGGTTCTTCCTCTTTAGCCTAGCCTTCTGAGTAGCTGGTACTATAGACATGTGCTGCTGTGCCCACCTAGTTTAAGATATTTGGCTCGGCGCCTATAGCTCAACTGGCTAAGGCGCCAGCCACGTACACCTAAGGTGGCGGGTTCGAATCCCCAGCCCGGACCCGCCAAAC